TTTGTATGTGAAAACTTTTCTTCTAATCTTACGTATTTAATTTAGGGAATTAGCTTAAAATAGCACTTTAAGAAGTGTTCTTTCCAAAATGTATTTCTCTTCACCACTAATCAATATTTCATAAACTTCTAGAAACAATCACTTGCATACGTATAAAGCGATTGTGGGTTGACCCTGAAGCTTTTAAAGTTTAGAGTGGTTGGGGGTACCCACCTAATTTTGCCAGTTCATAGGAGAATATTTAAGCTGCTTAGACTTTTATGTACTCTGAAAAGTGAGCTTAGTGCAGAGATTTCTAAAACGATGTATTGGTTTTTGTAATTTTAAAAGTTCAGTATACAATTAAGTAATGAAAACTGAGTTGACACAAGGTTTTGGAGTAGTGTTAGTGTTGTGATCAGAATGGCTGTTGGTGTTACTAAAAGTTAATGGACTCAGTTTATTTCATTGCTGCCATTTACCCTACTTTGTGCTCTCAACGTATTTTCTAATTTTCTGATTTACCAGGAGGATACAGAGTTAGAGTATTTTAATTAGTTAACTGGTTAAAATTGACATATACTTCACATATACCCTCTCTAGTTAATAGAGCTACTTTTAACGGTATTTTACTTTTTAGAACAGTGAAATAGGATGTTTTACATTTCTTCTAAGGCTTGTTGTAAGTTGTACATACCATTAGGTTCACTTCTCTTTGATGGTAAATCTTGTCTAATTTCTCCTGTCATGGAGAAATATAAAAATAAGAAGCTTCTTGAGGAAATGATAAATCTAAGCAGAGAAGGAGGTATTTTCTAGAAAGTTACCTTGTTGTTAATTGCAGGTAATTTAGGCATGTGTTGATGTGTAAATAATTTAGGAATGTGTTTACAGGTTCCAGGATACAGACTGATGATAAAGCATCTAGAATTATTACTCCATGCGGGCTCTGCAGAAGATTTCTGGGAACATAGAGACCATTTGCAGAGATCAAATGAACAAGATAACATATTAGCTGTGTTATTCCCCCAACTTGGCTTCCCAGGTGGCTCAGTGATAAAGAATCTGCCTGCCAGTGCAGGAGACATAAGAGATGCGGGTTTGATCCCTGGGTCGGGAAGATTCCCTGGAGGAGAAAATGTCAACCTGCTCCAGTATTCTTGCCTAGAAAATTCCATGGACAGAGGAGCCTGGTGGGCTACAGTCCAAAATGGGGTCAAAAAGAGTCAGACACAAATGAGCGACTGAGCTCACAGCACACATTAACCCGAGTAACGTGAGAACTAAACAGTTGATCTGTATTTTGAAAGCTAGGACTTAATTTTGGAACACAGTAACCGTAGTAGTGAAGAGTGTTAGGCTTTGAACCCAGAAAAACCCAGGCTGGAGGTTTATGGCTGTGTAGAAGAATTCCTGACTGTTTCATCGTGACAATAGGGAACATTTACTGTGTCAGGCCAACATTCTATGCTTCACATACATTGTTTAATTTTCACATTTTGTAAAACATGCCGAGTAGAAGGGAGTGAGCTCCAAGTCCGTCTAAAGTCTAGATGTCAGGAGTAAGAGGCTGTTTAAAGCTGTGGGCGTCTTAGTGTGTTCAGGTCATTTATTCCAGCAATAGTCTTTTCAAGCCCTTGCTACCCGTTTCTCCTCATTTCTTTCCTTTTGAACCAAGTAGAAACTCACAGCAGCTACAAAATATTACAACAGAATTTTAACTCTAGGGCAGTGCCCAGGTTATTTTGATGTATAGGAGTTCTTTTGTATTGACTAATATTCAGAATTAGTGAGTCATGGTTTGTAGTTTAGCAGTCTTCTAATTACATGGAGATTTTATCTAACTTCTGTTTGTTACCAACTCTGGGGAGAAAAATTTTGGAGTGAAGATTAAAAAAAGAATGACTTCAAAACAATTTATGAGACCAGTGCTCTAATCCCTGAGCTACAGAGCCATTAAACACAATTTAGACTTCATTATGTTTGTGTTCAGTCGTTATTCATCTGCTGCAGATTACGAGAGTTAGCTTTCTAAATAAAAGATTATACATATGTATTTTGAAATACTTATTTGGCCGTGCCAGGTCTTAGTTGAGGCAGGCAGGTCTTTAGTTGTGGCGTTCGAACCCTTAGTTGTGGCATGTGAGCTCTAGTTCCCCGACCAGGAATTGAACCCAGGCCTCCCTGAATTGGGAGTGTGGGGTATTAGCCTCTGGACCACCCATGAAGTCCCAGGGTTATATTTTTGATACTCTTCTATTCTGCATTATTTAATGGGTAAGAAGAAAGAAAGGCTATGTGAAAAAAACATTGGGAAAACAACTGCTCTAAGATAATGAATTTGAACTAAACCATTGTTTAGAAAGGAAGTAAAAATCTCTTAAATATGAAGGAAATTTAAATTGCTTATGTTATATAAAACAAATATTTTCCTTTTTTCCATACACTGCATTAACTATAAACAGTATTTATTTCAAAGTAGTAATAGTACCATTGTTAAACAGTTATTTTTGTTTCTTAATGTGTTAAAATAGACCTGTAATTTAGAGTCTGAGAACCCGAATGTTTTGCTTCCCTTATTGTCACTAAACCTTTTGAACTTCATGTTTTCTTTGTCTACAGAAGAACTGGGAATAATACCTGGTTTTAGCCTGTTTAATTTTAATAGCACTGTGAGATAGTGGAGAGGAATAAACTGTAATGTAAAATTTTAAGTTATCTTGATTGAAGTAAACTTTCTGCAATCAATCTCAACCACAGAATGCATTGCTACATTCTTAGAAACTTGATATTAGGTAGCTTAAGAATGTCTTTAAAATCTAGCTTAACACCAAAGTGCTGGTTGCCTTAGGTATTTGTGCTCCACCACTTTCATATTTTTAAGTGAAATAAAAGAGTAGTATTTGAATAAAAGCTCAAAAGTGAGGTTTTAAGACAGATTTTGTATACTGATTCGCTGAGGCAGTTTTGAAGGAAAATGCTGTCCCTCTGGGTCTGTGAGGTAGTTACGTGTGTTCCCCTAGTTGGGAAGCAATAGTGACATTTATCTGGCTGCTTGGCTTGGCTGAGGTCGGGTGAGGGGGAGACAAAGTCAGCCTTAACCCCCAAGTTGGCGCAGCTGCTCCTTGGCTCTGTTAGGCCGAAGTCTTAGGACGTTTTGGTTCTTGTAGACTGAACTCCTGAGGTTTCCTGGACTAATCAGGCTTGTTACAGTTCGTTGTACTTACCATGGTCCAGAGGTGTCTGACCTTCAGGAGAGTAACTACAAGGCAGTCGGTGAGGGATGTTTGAGTGCGTGCTCTGCTGAGGTCTGTGTCTCCAGATGTCCATAGGATGGTGTTTCCAGTCAAACATTTATCTGTCGGATTAGGCCGAGTTAGGTGCTGGACCTTAAACATAGGACTCAGATCACTGAAAAGTGTACACTGCGTGCTGGCGGTTACACTTTCCTGGTTTTACTCTTCCCACATTTGACTTGTCCTGGGGCTGTGTGTTTGTGTGCTGCTCCCTAATAATCTTGCACCTGAAACAGGTGCTTTCTGAACACTTTTTTAAAATAGCACATGGTAAACTAAAAAACAAAAAAAACCCAAGACTCTCCCAGAGTAATTAATTTATTACTCTTTTGTTAACCTGGTGCTATTTATTCATTTTTAGAAATGCCTCTGAATGAAGCAGTTCTTTGAAATTATTGCTAGAGCTGAGCCACAGGGTGAGAAGCCTGAAATGAATGTGTTGAGTTTAAAATGCCTGTATCACAACCTGTGTATTCTGGATTCTGAGGTTCAGCATAAAGTATCCCAGTGTCCTTTGTAATATCACTTCTCAACGGCTTGTTAGGAATTACTAGGAAATAACTTGATTTCTCTAAAATATTTTAAGCCAGTCAGTTTTCACAGACACAGTATGGCCCCCCGTATTTCCTCCCCTTTTACTTTGTTTGCATATCCAAATGTTCCTACACAAGTGGTTTGTGTAGTTTGCGGCGTGAGGATTGTGGGAAGAGTGCTCAAAACTACAGATTGTGGAAATGCAGCCTGCACAGTTCTGTACAGCCTTTTGCCTTAGCCGAGAGAGCGTTTGTGACTTCTCTGCTGATGCCTGGGAGTTGAGGGGTAGGTACTGTGCTCTTAGGGGCCATTTAATTTGTTGCCTGAGGACAGAAGTGCAGTTTTATGGTGAGGATTTGTACCTTGCTTTACCAGTGTTTAGACTTTTATAAAGATAATCTTATTTCGTGAAAGTATAAGATGAAAATCACTGGCACCCTGCTTCTGTTCCTTTTCTTCAGCTTTCTGCTTGACTGTCCTGGTGCATGTTGTTCATGGGAACTCCCAGGAATGGGTTCTTGATTGTAAAAAAAAAAGGAATTTGCTATAAAAGTTGAGTTCTAAAAAAAAAAGTTGAGCTTTTCTTAACATTCCTATATTTGAATTATTTTAAAGAGTTTGAGAAATTTATCATTTTAGTCATCTAGTTAGCTGTGGCCTGTAAGACATGCTGACATACAGCACCTCCTTGTTTTTATTCACTGAGATACTGGCTTCATCATTCTCTAAAGTGGAGACTGATTTTTTAGAGGTTACAACATGCGGTGTTAGGCCCATAGCGAATATAGAGAAGGTGATGACTAGTAACTGATGCTAGAATCATTTGCAAACCTGATGTGAAAGTGTATCAGTTTTCTCAGATTTTAGCTTTTGTATGTTCTGAAATTGCTGAAAACTGTAACAAAACTTTGATTTTTCTCTTTAATTGTGCTGATTAGTTTCATCGTTCACAACTTAACGTATATGAAGAGTATTTTAGATTAACATCCAAAAATTTAAACAGGAACTGCCATTTCTTGGTTATGCTTATGAAATCATTTTGTTTTAGGACATGTACCCCAAATGTTTGTTAATTATTGTATTTCTGTTAGGCTGAACTACCCCTCCTGCTGTCTGATATCCTACTCTTTCTACTCATTCTTTTGCATTCTGCATGATCTTAGGCATGTTTATTTATTTATTTATTTTTTCTTCAAGGGGCTATTTATTGCCTATTTTTTTATTTTACAGCAAACTTAAATGTATTCACTTTTCACAAATGGAAAGTGGAAATCAAGGTATCTCTCAAATGTATATGCTGAACCAAAGTTCTGTTTTCAGAGTTTAGCAGTCAATCATGATTTTGGTCCAGGGCCACTAGTCCATGATTTCAAATAGTTGATGATCCTGGCAGTAACTGGAACAAAATCTTCTCTATATGTGACAATCGTTTCCACATAAAAGCCTTTTGGGGGCTCAGATAGTTCGTTTCTTGAGGCATCCTTTTGTTCTACTTTATCACCTGGCGGCTTGCTCTTTTTCTGACTCAGGAAAATCAAGGAGCCCAGCAGGGTCCAGGCGCCCAGTCCGTAAACGACTGACATCCGCCGGTACCAACTAAGAGCTTGTGCCAGCCGCATGACGCCGCTGCCTAGACCCCACTCCTCCGAGTCTCGGGTGAAGGCAGGCCTTCCCTTAGGCATGTTTAAAAACACATTTCTACATTTCTTTAGTAGGGACACTGTGGCTTAAAACCACTTTTTATTTTCAGCAGTGTATATTTAGGACAAATGGATGTGTGTGTAGGTGGAACATGTTTAGAGTTTAGTGTGACAGAGTAGGTGAACAAGAATGGTGCTTGGTTTTATTTTTAAAATAAAACAACTGTGAAGAAAAATGCCAAACAACGCTAGTAAATCAGACTTTGGAAATAGCTCCAGCACGGTGGAATCCCGTAACGGCTTCACCTGGCTGTCACCGGCTAGCTCTGTCTGTTGGGCATCTGTCTGATAGAGCTGCTAGAATGATTAGCTGACTGCCAGCCGGCGATTACACTGTGCCGATTCTCCAGTTGCAGAATTCCACAATTGTCCGTGTCCTAGTTCTGGAGCGGAGCCCCTCAGCATCGTGTGGCTCATAAATGCCTGGACTGATGGCTTCTAGTGGAGCTCAGCGCTCACTGGGCCTAGGTGCCAGCCTTTATCATTCATTCAGGAAATGTCTTAATGGCCCGTTGGATGCTAGACACTGTGAAAGGTGATAGGGTTTTTAGGGTAAACTGAACGTGGCTTCTTGGAACATACTATCTAGGGTAGACAATCACTGGGTAGGCAGATATCTAATATAATTTCAAAGTATTATTAAAATGGCATAAAGGATGGTGAAAACAGTAAAGAGAGAAAAATGTTAGAGACAGTATACACTAAAACAGGATGGTCAGGGAGGTCCCCTTTGAGGAGTGACATTTGAGTGGAAACATGATTGACAAGCTAGCAACAAGAAGGTCAGTATGACAGAAATGAATGAACTAAAAGAGAGGATGGGAGATAAGGTGTAAAATAGAGATAGAGGCCAGGTCATCATGTAAGGCCTTGTAGGTCATAGTTTTAAGGAATTTGGGTTTTATTTTGAGTGTAAGAGGAAACTATTCACACTCAAAAGAAGGACTTCAGCAGAGCAGCCCTGTGACCAGATCTGCTCCTTCAGGTGGCTGTGTCTGAGTGACACAGGGACAGGTCTCGGTAGAGAACAGATTTATAGGGTTTTCGAGTGGGCACAGTGACACCTGCTGCAGTCTAGGCAAGACATGGTGGTGCCTTAGGTTGGAATGCTTGGGTTGGGTTAAGAGTGGTGGAGTTTGGAGGGTGTGACAGTAGGTGTTGGATGCTTAAATGTGGTGGGTGAGGAGAATACTAAAGGAATCAAGGATCGTATCTAGTTTACTCTGTTGTGTGGATAAGCAGTATTATTACCAATAATATAATATAGCTATTATGTAGTAATAGCTATTTTGGATTAAGTGCACACAATGTACCAGACAGTGAATTTTGCATTCTTTATAGTTTTTCATTTACTGCTCATAACCACTCCACCTCTTAAAATATATTCTTATTTTACAGATGAGGAAATTAAGGCGTAGATGTTTTTTGCCCAGGTCCACACAGCCAAGAAGTTTATTCATCAGCAAGTCTCTGACTTCAAGGTGCAAGCTCAGTTTATTTGGTCATTCAGCAAGTACTCTTCTAGGAATTAAGTATACAGAGGTTGTCAGAGCTCAGTCTTTATTTTCATGGAGTTTAATAATTTGGGTGTTAAAAATTTTACCGTAAGAGTCTGTATAGTTGTGCGGACCAAGTGTGTAGGAGGACCTTGCTTAGCTGAATGTTGGATTTCCGGTACTGTTAATCTCCTGGAATGTAGTTTGACCTTGCAAAGAAGCCTGTGCTGAGGCCTTTATATTACTCGGGGGTTAGGCCTTCTCTGGGCTTCCCTGGTGGCTCAGATGGTGAAGAATCTGCCTGCAATGCAGGAGGCCCGGGTTCAGTCCCTTGGGGTGGAAAGATCCCTGGAGAAGGGGATGGCTACCCACTCCCAACATTCTTGCCTGAAGAATTCCATGGACAGAGGAGCATGGTGAGCTACAGTTCATGGGGTCACAAAGAGTCAGACACAACTGAGTGACTTTCCCTCTCTAGCCTAGTAGACTAGGTTCTTTTCCTGTTCTCCTTAATATACAGGCTTGATTCTCTTTCTCAAATCAGGTTGTCAAGAGCAAATGCTGGAGTAGGGAAGTCAGCAGAAGTAAATACTGTCAAGTCAGAAGTGGTTCTGGCAGCCAGAGTGCAGGGAGAATCTGAGAAGTAGAAAGGAGACACAGGACTCCGTTGTTTGTTACATTGATTGTCATTGTTGTTTTGAAGCTTTTCCATCAGACTACCACTAATATTAGATTAAATGTCTATCCTTTAAACCTGAAAGTTTTTGGAAGTCACATTTCATCTTAAATATTTGTTTTTTGATTTTTACTTCATAATAGATACATTATCAAAATATTTAAAACTCTGTGTGTGTTAGTCGTTCATTCATGTCCAGCTCTTTGCCACCCCATGAACTGTAGCTTGCCAGGCTCCTCTGTCCGTGGAATTCTCCAGGCAAGAAATGCTGGAGTGGGTAGCCGTACCCTTCTCCAGGGGATATTCCCAACCCAGGGATCGACCCCTGATCTCCCACATGGCAGGCAGATTTTTTAGTGTCTGAACCACCAGGAAAACCCATATTTAAAACTGCAATTACCTTATTAGCCTCCCCAACTCAAATCTGAGTAAAATTGTTTTTGGAAAATCTGCTGTATTTACATTCTATAGATAACCAGAGGTTACTCATTACAGTAACTTATAAATCATTAAGAGAAGGTTGCCATATAGTCTATTTGGAAAGCTAGGGAAGGATATTCTGTATCAGAAAATTGTAGTATTTGTTAGATTTTCGTGGCAGTTGAATCATTACAAGGTGTTAGAGCTAGAAGGGTCAGTATAGGTCATCTCTTCCAGCTCCTTTTTTTTTTTTTTGGTAGAAGAGGCAGGTAACTTGAGGTTATGTGGATTAAATGAAATAGTATTTGAGTACCTATATGCTTAGGACCTAGCTCATAATAGATGCTTAAAAGATGCTGGTTTCTTTCTTTCTTTTTTTTTTAAAATCTGTCAAGTCTGTTCCTTTTATATTTTTTCATATTTCACTTTCTGGAAATTTCATTTTCCTGGTCCTGTTGATAGATGTGTTCCACAGAAGCGAATGAACAAGAAAACATGTGGTATTTTGTCCCCTGCCTGCTCAAAGATCTTCCCCTAAGATTTGCTGAAGAACAGAGCGACATGGGCTTAAGAAGACCCATGTCGCTTGCCTGATTTGTCATGGGTGTGTGTGTTTACAAATAGTGGCAATACTTGAGAAGTTAAAGGTGTTACCTGAGTTTTGATTCTTCATTTAAGAGTATGCACAGTAGGTCAATTTAAGGATGTATCTCTAAGCTCCTTCCTTTAACAAATCCTTGATCTTGGTGATTGTCACCTGAAAACTGGTAAAGTGGGACACCTGTTGCTTGTTTCTGTTACCCCCTTTTATTGTAACTGTACCCATATTTTTCTCTGAGGAACTGTCAGCCCTTATTCCCTATTATGTAGCCATTCATTTTTAATGAGACTGATCTCATCTTTAACTCTAATGGAGAACCTGATTTGCTTCAGTCAGTTTGTGAAGGCCAACCATTTGGACGTAATGATTTGTTCACAGTGACTCACTGGAGGCCAGTGAAATGTGAACTCATGTGTGGGGCTCTTTACTTTGAAGAGCTTCCCTGGGAAATGCTGTTTACCCAAAGGCATTACCAGAAAGTTCCAAAAAGCAGAATTGAATTTGTTCCCTTGTCAAGGCAACCATTTACATATCATTTACATTGCGTTAGGTGTTGTAGGTAGTCTTGTTGTTGTTCAGTTGCTTGTAAGTAATCTAGAGATGATTTCAAGTTTGGAAGGATGTGTGTAGTTTTGATGCAAATATTACACCATTTAATATAAGGTACTTGAGTGTCCTTGGACTTTGTTATCTACAGGGGATCCTGGAACAAATCCCTTGCAGATACCTGAGGGCAACTGCTCCACATTTTTTTTATTCATTCATCACTGGATGGGTATTTGTGCTGTTTCTACCTTTTGGCTGTTAGGCATAATGCTCCTGTGAACTTTCTGATGTCCTAAGGTTCTGATGGACTTCCCAAGTGACTGAGTGGTAAAGAATCCTCCTGCCAAGCAGGAGACTCAGGTTTGATCTCTGGGTTGGGAGGATACCCTGGAGTAGGAAATGGCAACACACTCTAGTATTCTTGCCTGGAGAATCCCATGGAAAGAGGAGCCTGGCGGGCTACAACTCATAGGGTCGCAGAGAGTCATACACAACTGAGTGACTTCATAACAGCAGCAACATCAAAGGTTCCAATAACCTGCAAGTCTGCCCTGAAGTCCTGTAGCTTCAATCTGCAGTGGATAGAGAAGCCTGATGATTTTTGTTGCTCCAAGTGGACTTTTGGAAGGTAAAAGAATAGATTATTAGTTTTAGTTTGGAAATATTGCAAGTAACCAGAATGTTTTATTTTTATGGCCACATGGTTTTTGGAATCCTAGTTCCTTGACCAGGGATTGAAAGTAGTGAAAGTATGAAGTCCTAACCACTGGACCACCAGGGAATTCCCGGAGGAGTTTTTCTTTTTTGTTAATTGGTTTGGCCAAAAAGTTCATTTGGGTTTTCCTGTAACATATTATGGAAAAACCCCAGTGAACTTTTTGGCCACCCCAGTTTGTGACATTTGGGGTTCACAGGGGTTCTGAGACTCCCAAGTTAGAGGTAGGTCTGATTTAGTCCTTTGCACCTGATTTTTAAGATGAAGCCACGAGGTCCAGGGAGGTGCATGGGCTTTCCCAGAGCCTCCAGATTTACTATCAGTGACTATAATGGTGTTTTGACGGGCTGTCTTTAAAAAAAACATGGTAGGTTTAGGCAACTATAAACATTCTTTGTCAAAAAATTTATTGTGGTAAAATATAACAAATGTACTGCCATGTACCATATACATAATATAAATTTCTGCACAGTTCAGTGGCATTAAGTACCTTTATATTATGTTGCAACCATCACCACCATCCATCTCCAGAACTTTTCCATCATCTCATACTGGAACTCTGTACCCTTAACCTCCCCGCCTTGACTCCCCACTCCTGTCCCTGCGAACTACAATCCTACTTTCTTTATGAATTTGATTACTCTGGGTATGCCATAAAAGTGTAATCATACAATATTTGTCCCTTTATGACTGGCTTAGTTCACTTAGCATAATGTCCTCAAGGTTCATCCATGCCGTAGCATGTATCAAAATCCTCTTGCTTTTTAGGACCGAATGATACTTCTTTGCATGTGTATAGCATATTTTGTTATCATTTCACTTGGTCACTTGGTCAGTGGACACTTGGCTTGTATCCACCTTTTGGCTATTGGGAGTAAACTGTGAACGTGGGTGTGCAGATATTTTGAGTTCCTGCTTTCAATTCTGTTGGGTCTGTATCCAGATGTGGACTTGCTGGATCGTATAGTAACTCTTATTTTTTGAGGAAGTACCATACTGTTTTCTGTAGAGACCATATGCCATTTTACATTTCCCACCAGCAGTGCACAAGGGTTTCACTTTCTCTGTATCCTTGCCAGCACTTCCCTCCCTCCCTTCCTTTTTCCCTTTTTCTTTCTCGATTTTTGATAATAGTCCTGTAAAGTGCTGTCCCATTTGTTTTTGATTTTTCGTTTCCTTAAAGGTTAGTAATGTTGCACCTTTTCATGTTCTTGACTGTGTATCTTTTTTGGAAAAATGTCTATGCAGATTTTTGGCGTGTCTTGAAATTGGGTTGTCTTTTTACTATTGAATTCTGAGATCTTTAGCCTGTATTCTATAGAATATTTATATTCTAGATGCAAATTCCTTATGAGATGCATGATTTGCAGATTTACCCCCCTTTTTTCAATTAATTAATTTATTTTTTAATTGAAGGTTAAATGTTTTACAGAATTGCATTGGTTTCTGCCAAACTTAGGTTATCTTTTTATTTTCTTGATTGTGTTCTTTGAAGCAAGAAGTTTTTAATTTTGATAAAGTCCAGCTTATCTGTTTTTCTTTTGTTGCTTGTGTCTTTAGTGTTATATCTTAAAAACCACTGCCAAATTCAAGGTCGTCCAGATTTACTCTTTTGTTTTCTTTTAAGTGTTTTATAGTTTTAGCTCTTACATTATTCAGGTCTTCACCCATTGGTTTAATTTTTACATATTCTCTGAAGTAGGGGTCCAACTCCATTCTTTTGCATGTGGATGTCTGAATTGTTTGGTGCCCTTCTTAGTTCTGTT